TATAGCTGAGCTGTGGCAGTGGTTGGGAACTAGTGCAGTAGGTCAGCAAGAAAAATGACCGAGAAGGAGTTAGAGATTAAGGCCACTAAGGCTAAGAGGAAGAACAGACAGGGAGAGATTACCGAACTCAGTAGATCTCGCGGTTTGAAGTGTATATGTTTTACGCGAAGAGTACGCCAGGTAAGGCAGATGAACTTAGAGCTTGGATTAGTACATAAAACTGATTTTGTAGCTATTACAGAGACTTGGTTGAGAAAGGGACAAGACTGACAGTTTAATTTTCCAGGATTTAGATATTTCACACGAGGTAGAGAGGGAGTTGTATATACTGATTAGGGAGGACATCACAGCTGTACTGAGAGCTGACCTTTGGAAGGGTCATCCAGTGAGACCATATGAGGTAGAGCTCAGGAATAGGAAGGGTACAGTCACTGACGGGATTGTATTACAGGCCTTCCAATGGCCAATGGGCGATAGAGAAGCAAATATGTAGATAGATTATGGAAAAATGTAAAAGCAACAGGGCTGTTGTAATGGGTGATTTTACCTTCCTCTATATTGTCTGGGATCCTCTAGTGCCAGAGGCTTGGATTGGTTTGGTGACAGGGAGGGGAGATAGTTTGTTGGTGGATCTAAGAGGGTTTTTTGAAACAATATGTAAATAGTCTAAAATACCAAAAGAATTGTGGATGATGGAAATATGAAACAAAAACAAATTGCTGGAAATTCACGGCAGGTCTAGCAGCATCTGCAGAGAGAAATCAGAGTTTACTTTTCGGGTCCAGTGACCCTTCCTCAAAACTCATCCTTGAAGATCCCTCGAAGAATATAAAGAAAGCAGGAATGAACTTAAATAAAGAGTTAGGAAGGCTAAAAGTGCCCATGAAATGTCGGTGGCAAACAGAATTAAGGAAAACCCCAAGGTGTTTTATACCTATATCAAGAGTTAGAGTGCATATAAGGAAAAGATAGGTCCACTGAAGGATAAATGTGTGGAATTTGTGTGGAGCTAGAGGAAATGAGTGAGGTCCTTAATGGATACTTCGCATTAGTTTTCACAAAGGCAATGGAGGATGGTGAATCTGGAGAGGGATTTGTTGATATTCTAGGGCATATTGATATAAAAAAGGAGCAGATGTTGAGTGTTTTGAAATGTGTTAAGGTATATAAGTCCCCAGGACCTGACAGATCAAACCCAGAATACTGAGGGAGGGAGGCAGGTGAGGAAATTGCTGGGGTCTTATACAAAATCTTTATATCCTCTTTAGTCACAGGAGAGGTCCCAGAGGACTGGAGAATAGCCAATGCTGTTCCATTGTTTAAGAAGTGCAACAAGGATAATCCAGGAAATCTCCAGCCTTATGTCAGTGGTAGTGAAATTATTGGAGAAGATTCTTAGGGACAGGATTTACTCACATTTGGGAAAATGTGAACGTATTAGCAATAGGCGGCATGGCTGTGTGCGGGGGAGGTCATGTCTCACAAACTTGATTGAGTTTTTTTGAGGAAGTGACAAAGATGATTGATGAGGGTAGGGTGGTGAATGTTGTCTGTGTGGACTTTAGTAAGGCCTTTGACAAGGTCCCTCATGGCAGGCTAATATAGAATGTGAAGTTGCATGGGATCTGTGGTAAGATGGATACAGAACTGGCTTGGTCGTAGAAGACAGACAATAACAGTGGAAGGGTGCTTTTCTGCCTGAAGATCTGTGATCTATGCCAGGGGAGGCGATGGTCCAGTGGTATAATCGCTGGACTGTTAATCCAGAGACCCAGATAATGTTCTGGGTACCCAGGTTCGAATCCCACTGTGGCAGATGGTGGAATTTGAATCCAATAAAATATCTGTAATTAAGAATCTAATGATGACCATGAGTCAATTGTTGATTGTCGGAAAAACCCATCTGGTTCACTAATGTGCTATAGGGAAGAAAATTGCCATTCTTACCTGGTCTGGCCTATATGTGACTCCTGACCCATAGCAATGTGGTTGACCCTTAACTGAATTAGGGATGAGCAATAAATGCTGCCTAGCCAGTGATGCCCTCATCCCAATAATGAATAAAGGGAAAAAAAAAATCAGATCCCTATCTTCTGTAGGGACCAGTGCTGGAATCTTTGTTGTTTACAATATATATATATAAATGATTTGGAAGAGAATGTAGGTGGTCTGATTAGTAAGTTTGCAGAAGACACAAAGATTTGGAGGAGCTGCGGATAGTGAGGAGGACTGGCAGATGATACAGCAGCATATAGATCGGCTGGAGACTTGGGCAGATAAATAGCAGATTGAAATTATTGGGACAAATGCAACGTCATGCATTTTGGAATGTCTAATGTAGGTGGGAAGTATACAATAGATGGTAAAATTCTTAGAAGCATTAACATACATAGGGATCTAGGCGTACAGGTCGTAGTTCCCTGAAAATAGCAACACGAGTGGATAAGGTGGTCAAGACGACATATGACATGCTTGCTTTCATTTGTTGAGGCACATCATGTTGCAGCTGTATAGAATTTTAGTTAGGCCATAGTTGGAATATTTCGTACAGTTTGGGTCCCATCCTATCAGAAGGATGTGGAGGCTTTGAAGAGAGTACAAAAATGGTTTACCAGGATGTTGCATGGCTTGGACGGTATAAGCTATGAGGAGAGAATGGCAGAACTTGGTTTGTTTTCAATTGAATGTTGGAGGCTTAGGCGTGACTTGGTACAAGTTTACAAATTGAGAGATATGGTTGGAGTCAGTTTCCCAGAGTAGAAATGCCAATTATTTGGTGAAATAGGTTTAAGGTAACAGGGGGAAAGTTTAAAGGAGATGTGAGAAGCAGGTTTTTTTGAACACAGAAGGTGGTAAGTGCCTGGAATGTGCTGCCAGAGAAGGTGGTAGAAGCAGATAGAACGGAGATGTAAGAGGTATCTTAACAGTTATATAGGTAGGGAGAGAATAGAGGGATAAAGACCGCATAGAGGCAAAAGATTTTTAGTTTAGAAAGGCATCATTTATCAGTGCAGATTTGGTGGGTCAAAGGGCCTGTTCCTGTTCTGTTCTTTGTTCCTTGTGATGGTATCAGACATCTTTCATTTATACAATGGGGGAGTTCTGGAGTGTGTCCAAGTTTCTATTCCAGTTGTAAAATCAACTTTATTTCAGTCAGAGTTGAGTTGTTGCTCTAAAATGAGGTTAAATGTTGGTACTGCGTGGTACATTAAATTTTGATGCCTATCAGTGTATTCAAAGGAATTTATTCCATTTGGTTGATTTTCATCAATGTCTAAGTCTTGCTGCTTTTGCCCAATCTACTCATGAAATGGTAGTTTGGCACAGGAAACCTGTTATTTCCTGTGCTGGCTCTAGTTGATTTCATTTCCCTGCTACAGCCTTCGTTGCAGCTCAATTTATTGGCACAAAGTTGTCTTTTCCTTCGTTCCCATTCCCAATTCAGCACCAACATGCCTTTTTGATGGTGGGGGACAGTGGTCTGACTCTCTTTGATTAAGGTCCTTAAATAGCCACTTTTAAATTTCCATGAAGGCAATCAATAAATAATCTTTTTAATTAATTAGCTCCAATGATCTGCTTTTGACTTATTCACCTACTGAACATGAGAATATGGTAGAATGTTCTTTGGGATGTAATTGTCAATTAATTGTGTTACAACATGATGTTGCATGGTTACAAATTGTTATAATTAGACAAAAGATGGTGGAACCATGTGCTATTGTTGTTTCAAGCTTAATCTACATGCAACTTTCATCGCAATAGGTGAAACATGCAGGAAAGCATGAATCAACTAGGAACAGATCTGAGTTCCAATGCCTTTTTAATTATTTTTAAATCACCTGTTTGGGCATGTTATGACACACCTCTGGGGCAAGTGGGACTTGAACCTGCGTCTCTGACCCAGAGGTAGGGACTGTATCACTGTGCCATAAGAGCCCTTCAATGCCTATTTATTTTAATGTTAATTTTGGCTCAGACTGATCCTTGTTTATTTATGGTTTCATTAGCTTGATTCAACCTGGTCAGGTGACTTGTGAGGCTGTCTTAAGTCAGTGCCTTTTACTTCTTCTGAACTATTTTAGTCCAGCAAAGTTACCAGCTGTTTATTCAGAAATTGCAACAGTCACTCCATATTAAGCGCATAAAACCTGGCTCCCCCTCAGCTAGTCAATCAAATCCTTTGCCAAAATCCAGTATGTTCAATTTGAGTTGTTGAGAACCCAAAGAAGTGTTTAGTATTAAAGAATCTTGCATTAGCAGGTACAATACTATTCTCATGAGTTGATTACTATCCAACTATCCAGTAGGAAAGCATTGTGTTCAGTATTTTGTTTCTTTCTGCCAACTTTACACGAAAGCTTTTACGAAGTTGGGATGAAGCTCAGTGCTGTGACAGTTCAAGTTACAGCCGTAACTGTCATCCTTGAGGTTCTATACATTGACCCCCACTGATATTCTGATTAATGAAGGCAAACCGGTATTGCCTCTTTTTGTCCTGAATTTAATACTGGTACTTAGTTCTGTAAAAATTGATGTGCTCTATATTTGAAATTAGGAGTTGCTTTGATTTCCCAATTGCCCTCTTGGATGCCGACTTCAGTTTTAGCATCTAGGCCAATATGTTGCAGGTCTGTCACACCAACTAGATGGTTTTAGGAGCCACCCTCATTGCCAATCCAAAATATTTGCCTTTAGTTCATTTAAAACAGGAGATTGTTACTCTGTTACTCTGTCATTTTATCCCACATATAGATGTGGGTGGGTTGTCAAACAAATGTGGAAGAGTTATTGTTTCAGAAAGAAAAAGATTCGTTGAAACAGTTGAAATTTTCTAGGCATAAAGAAGAAAGCTTTCCTCTTCTTTGTTTATCTTTTGCTAGGAATTATGAGTGTGCAAATTCTCCCAACATATGATGTTATACATTCATGTGATGCTTCATGTGTGTTTTTTTTTGGTATTTGTCATGGATATCCTTCCTTTCGTTTATTTCCAATAGAAAGTCAAAGAGCATACCGATTTGTCCAGGGCAAGGACTGGGGTTTCAAAAAATTTATCCGTAGAGACTTTCTTCTAGATGAAGCAAATGGTCTTCTTCCAGATGATAAACTTACACTGTTCTGTGAAGTAGGTGAATATTATTGCAAATACTTGTTGCTGATAATTAAGTGTTTTATTGCAAAGTCTTGCTGTATCAATTTACCTTATGGGATAAATTGCTGAAAAGGGTAAATTATTCTACATGCAACTTTTTTTTACTTGTTCTATTGTTATGTAAAAATACATACGTTGTAACCCAATCAACTTTATTTTGGAATTGTACACTATCCACCTGAAACCAAAATAAGAATTTTAATAGTCAAAGCTCAAAAATTATAGTATTTCCTTTACAATTTTTTATGTGTTTAAAATGTTTATTTCTTTTCTCCAGCCTTTCTTATCTGTCTCCTTTTATTTTTTTTTCCCACAGCATATTTTGTTATTGTTCGAGACTAATGTTAGAATGCAGTATTGAAATCTAAATGTACCATGGCAGTATACCAATTTTCATTAAGTAAAAGCATTTTAATATGTTTGTTCCTTTCTGCTCCTTTTCTCCACTCAAAGCGTGCAAAGTTTTGGTTCTATTGGTTTTGTTTTTAACAAAAGCGTTTGTGAAAAGGCAATCCAGGGAAGTCAGCAAAGTAATGCCAAAAGAATTTTATAAATGATCACAAGGAATGGGTATTTTAATGTTCTATAATTGAGCCCATGATGATTGTGTGACCCTTCAGGGTTTATAATTCCTTCCCATTCTGGGATTGGTTAACTCTGGGATTGTATTTAACACCCCTTTGATCCTATTTATTCTTTGAGGGGATGTAGACATCATTGCAAAACCAGCATTTGTTAAACCATCTTTAATTGCCTTGAATACATTGGTTCACCAGGTCGTTTCAGGGGCAGTTAACTAAATTGCTATGGCTCTGAAGTCACAGGTAGGCCAGACCAGGAAAGGAGAATAGATTTCCTTCCCTGAAGAATGTTTGTGAACCAGATGACTTTTTACCACAATCAACAGTAGTTTCATGATCACCATTACAAAGGAAAGCTTTCATTTCAAGATTTTCCCATGGTGAGATCTGTATGATTACAAGTTGCTGTTAGTATTGCATTAATTGATTGAGCTATCATTTGCTCTTTGATTTTACTCAGGGGGAAATATGTGATCATTGCCACTGTTTATGTGTGTCTGTTTTATAGCCTGAAGTGGAACACATAATTGCTAAGTTAGTATTTTTCTAGCGCATTGGTAAATATCTTTCTAATGTGAAATGTAATCAAATGTAATAGGGGGTGATGGCCAAGTGCTATCATTACTGGACAGAGACCCAGGTAATATTCTGGAGACCGGGGTTCAGAACCTGCAAATGTAGATGGTACAGTTTGAATTTAATTAAAATCTGAATTTAAGAGTCTGAAAATGACCATTGTGAATTGTCACAAAAACCCATCTAGTTTACTGATGTCCTTTAGGGAAGGAAACTACTATCCTCACCTGGTCTGGCCTACACGTGACTCCAGACCCACAGCAATGTGGTCGACTCTTAACTACTGTCTGGGCAATTAAGGATGGGCAATAATTGCTGGCCTAGCCAGCAACAATGTCATCCTGTGAATGACTTTTGAAAAAGAGTTGTAATATTACATGCCGCAACCAGTAAATATGCTAAAACAGTGAACGAGTTCTTCTTCGATGTTTGTATCTTTGCTTATTGCCTAACACCCTCCTACAGAGGACTTGCATAATTTAAATACATCTGATGTAATGCAATCTCCTAGAAAATGCCGACTGCATAATTTAGTCAATGATTCATTCAATTAGCTTTGTGTCCTCCTGTCATTACATCATATTTACATCATTTGGCATGTTGAGACTGTAATTCAGTAAGGAAATACGAAATTGGTTGAACATCTTCACAGCATGCCATTGACCCTAATTGTTGACTGAATGGGCAATATCCTTAAAGCACTGCTCATCTGTGCTGAGAAGTTTAGAACTATTGTACAGGTATACTGACAGGTTACAATAATAACTGTTGACTGGCAACTTCTAAGTGATAAATATTTAAGTGATCTAAATTTCACTTTGATCTGAGTATTTTCGGAGTAAGTGAGAAACTCTGTACACATGATTACTACTTAATTATGTCATTATATTCTGTAAAAGTAATAATTGAAATGCGGCCTCTGGGAATGGGTGCTCTGAATTTAATGCATTGTATTTTCACTTAAGCAGACAAATTAAATATGCTGTGTGATGAATTTGTTATGAATATAATTATTTAATTGACGAGGTTACAAGAGGTGTCGTGAGGTTTGGTGAATTTATCATCTATTGCTAATTTTTGGAAAATTTTTAAGGGAAATAAATTAGAATCTTAATCCTCCATGTTTCTGGAAATAATCTTAAAATGTTTCTAAAATAAATTTAGGTGATTGATGTCACTGACACTGTTTAAGGCTGTAGACATAGACATTTCTGTACAGATAATAGTCTCTAAGTGCTTACTATACATCTTATAAATTTGTTTCTGAACCACCTTTTTTTCTGTCACGTGTAATTTGGCAAAATCCAATCAAATGCACTCTGAAAACACAACTAGAATAAAAGCCTGATCAAATGTTATGGTTATGGGCCCCAAAGAAACCAATTGGTCGATGTCAATAAACAATCCTACTTGTGTTCTTTTCTCTCTCCCTACTCAATATGAAGATTCGATTAGTGAAAAAGTTAAATAAGCTCCTTGATAATGTGGCCTGTATATTCAAATGACTTTAGTGGTCATTGGCAAGGAGATCATTTGATGACAGGGCTCCAAAAACAATTTTCTTGCCAGTAAAGGAGCTAACACAGTTGTCTCACTTTTTGATCATTTTGTATGGTCTCTGATTTGTTTCATGTCTCCTATTTAATTAAAATTCCAGTGGTTTTTTTTGTGCACTGAGTCACTCATATAATAAATTTGAGTTTATCTACTTTGGTAGCAAAAACAGGAAGATAGATTATTATCTGAACAGCAATAGATTGGGAAAGGCGGAACAAAAACAGAAGTTGCTGGGAAAGGAGGATGCAGTTTTCTCCCACAGCCCAAAGATGTGCAGGTTAGGTGGATTCGCCGTGCTAAATTGCCCGTAGTGTCCAGGGATGAGTAAGTTAAGTGGATTAGCCATGGAAAACACAGGGTTAGGGGGGTGAGGCCGAGTGTAATGCTCTTCTAAGAGTCGATGTGGACTTGTTGGGCCAAATGGCCTGTTTCCACACTGTAGGGATTCTATAAAAAGAAAGAGTTGTGGGTGGGGGCCCAGAGTGGAACTGGAAGAAGGAATGTTTCACATACCTCACAAAGAAACAGGCCTAACTGGGTCGCATGGCCAATCCTCTGACCTGAAGGAATGAAAAGAGATGTTGCTCAGAGTGAAGACTAGCTTGGCAGGGAGGTCTAGTAATGGATGGAGTTGGTTCAGGTCTTTCTTCAAGGAGGAAGCTGAGAGTCCTGAGACCATACTGATGGGGCATGGACGTGTAACGGAATTGCATGTCCAAAAACAGGAAGGTAGATTATTATCTGAACAGCAATAAACTGGGAAACAAGGACGTACTTCGAAAACTCACTGTCCTTGTACAACAGTTGCTGAAAGTAAACGTGCTGGTGCTGCACGCTGTGAAGAAGGCAAATGGTAGTTTGCTTTCATAGTGAGACGATTCTAGTACAGGCACAGGGATGTCTTGTTGTAACTGTATGTAACTTTTTTTTTTGTTTGCCATTAATTAAATCTGTTTGATATGCATTATTGGATATTGTGCAGACCAATTGAGGGGGAAAGAAGTTAATGACTATAATGATCATGGCAAAATTAATGCTTTAATAATCACTTCACATGATGTATTTAGAGCATATAGTCTGAAAGTGTCAATATATTGTAAGGTCTAAAATTTCTTTAACATTTGTGCCCAAGTACTCATTCATGTAGATAGCAAGAACAGGTTTAAAAAAAAATCATTAAGTTGCATGTGTAACTGCAAAAACATTCAAGTAACCTTGACCTTTTGCTTCTATCGATCAAATCTTCCATCTAATTGAAACTTCGCTGTGCCCTCAGGACTGGTCATCGTGTCAACTCTGAATTGGAATATAGTTTGATCACGTTTGCATTGATGGGGAGTGAGGGGCTTGTCTCAACCTTGTTACCAAATTTTTAGACACAGCAATAAACTAAGTAATTTCAACTCTTTGATTTTTTTAAAACTTTTATCCGCAGTGACTTTTTTTGCATTATAGTTTTCTTGCAATGAAAACAGCAAGACATATTGAAAATGAAGTTCCCTTTGTCAGGTTGTTTCTTGTGCCCCATCCGATGTGTATGAACGATGATTAAATGGATTAAAATTTTAAAGTTTAAGACACAAGAACAAACTAATGGGTATTCATCCTTTCTTTGGGCCCAGAATATTTACACTGCATTATGCTTATTTTAAGTTCTGCTGTCATCAGATTGGAAAATTGCTTGTCTGGCAAAATGGGTGCAGCATCATGCACGATTTCAGGTTATGGCGAAAGGAAAGTCCTCGGCGTGAATTTTTATGAAGAATTCAGTAACAGTGAATCATTTAGCCTCTAGTCTTAAGACGACAGAAGCCTTTGCTAACATAAGCAATTCTGTGAATAGCAAATTATTAATAGAGCAATTATTTTTAACTTTTACTACAGCTGAAATAAGACAATACAAGTTATTAGACTGTTGTAAATGTTGTGTTTTGACTTTTGTTTTGTTCCTCCCCTATGGTTCAGGTGAGTGTAGTTCAAGATTCTGTTAATATATCTGGTCAATCAAATATGAATACACTAAAAGTTCCAGAATGTCGGCTGGCTGATGATTTGGGAAATCTGTTGGAAAGTTCTAGATTCACGGACTGCTCCCTTTACGTGGGTGGACAAGAATTCAAAGCTCACAAATCAATTTTAGCAGGTAGGTAATTTCTGATTTTTTTTTTAAAAATTGCGTTTATCTATGTAATTGAAGAATTCTTAGTCTTATGACCCTTCCTTCCTTTTTGTCAGCACGATCTCCAGTTTTTAATGCAATGTTTGAACATGAAATGGAAGAAAGTAAGAAGGTAAGATTTGTCATTATTGTTCATTTTAAGACTTAATAACCTTTGACAGTCAAGTTGGTATATTTTATCACACCTTTGTTTTAACTTTTTGGTAATATGCGTTTGAACTCTAACAGTGCAGCTTTGTTCAAATCTTTAAATTACCGTTAAAATTGTGGTAGAATTGCAATGAATGCATTGAATGAATATTAGAGATGGTGTCACATCTTTAAACTTTTAATCATTTATATTATTTTTAATATCACATTTTAATCTTTTTTCTCAATAGAACAGAGTAGAAATAAATGATGTGGATCCTGAGGTGTTTAAGGAAATGATGAGATTTATCTACACAGGAAAAGCACCAAATCTCGATAAGATGGCTGATAATCTGTTGGCTGCAGCAGATAAAGTAAGTAATGAACATTCAGGAGGTAGTGCCAGAAAGAAGTTTCAGGCAATCACATCATCAGGAAGCATTCTTTTACATTGATACACCAGGAAGACGGCTAAGTGAAATACGTAATGTAGTCTGACATTTCAATGCGCTAGTGAGGGTGTGACACATGGAGGGGGTGAAGTCTTTTGAACAGCATTTTAACGTGGTTGACGTGGGCTCGTGTGCCACTCTGATGCCCAGCGGTCGTAGGATTCTTGTCGTGAGTTCCAACATGTTTCTGATATAGGGTAGTGTGATGAGTGTGTCGGGGCGTGTAGTCTCTTTCTGATGCTGTTCGTGTAGGCATCTTCTGACTCAATTCTTTGGATATCCATTATCCTTGAAAACCTGAAAGAGGTATTCTTCTTCTTCTTGGCGTAGTTCCGTGTTGCTGCAGTGTGTTGTTGCCCTTTTAAATAGTGTTCGCACGCAGCTTCGTTTGTGTGTGCTGGGATGGTTACTATTGAAGTTCAGTATCTGGTCTGTGTGTGTGGCTTTTCGGTGTACTTTCGTTTGCAGTTCCCCATTTGTCTTGCGCTCTACCACGAGCATGTTTTCTTTAGAGATGGTTTCACTGGGGTCGTGCTCTTGTTCAACCCCACGCCAACCCTACAAACTGCTCACCCAAACTAAGAACCCACTCCCCACCACGGGTAGGACCAATGTCATCTATAAGATTCCCTGCAGAGACTGTGAGAAACACTACATCGAACAAACGGGAAGGAAACGAACAACAAGAGTACATGAACACCAACTGGCTACAAAAAGGCACGACCAATACTCACTCATCTCAATCCACATGGACAAGGAGAACCACCACTTCGACTGGAACAACACCAAGATCCTGGGACAGGCTAGGCAGAGACAGGCACGAGAATTCGTAGAAGTGTGGCACTCCATGAAGCATGGCATTAATAAACACATTGAACTCGACCCCATATACATTCCACTATGAAGGAAACCCGGAAGTGAGACAACCCATTCGCAACGGACCCCAGAGTTTAAAAACCAGGCAGAAAAACACACTGACGCTTCATCGGAGGCTGCACTGAGGATGTTGCCAAGCATTGTAACAAAACGTCTGTGAAACAAGAAACCAGCTCGGCGAGCCAACCAACTTCAACAACCTCGACACCCACAACCCGAGCTACAAATCTACTCCAAAAGTTTAGAGAATCTTCAATATTTACTTGATCAGGTTGCTAATACCTGTTTAAAATGCTGTTCAAAAGACTTCACCCCTCCGTGCGTCACACCCTCACTACTGCATTGAAATGTCAGACTACATTATGTATTTCACTTAGCTGTCTTACCCTTGAGGGATGATATGTCCATTGTTTCTACTAAGCATGATCTGCACCTGGAAGGTTTTGCTTAAAACAGGGCAAGACAGTTGTTACAGACCAGAACGCTCTGATTTAAAAGGCTATTAGAAGCAGATTTAACCATGAATTTTAAATTGGATGTAAATTGAATACGCGAAAAGCAAACTTTTGTTGCGCATTTGAAAAGGTTATGGCATTGGGATTAATTGAAGAGTTTTAAAGAACTGACACAGGCACATTAGATAAAATGGCAACCTCCTGTGCTATATGATTCTAAATAGCATTAGTTTGCTTGGTCTGAAGAAATTTTTACAAGTTACGCTTGGGTTCTTGAAAAAGGAAGTGGAATATCTCTACATGAAATGAGATTAAAAGCAAGAAATGTCTTCCAGATTGACTAGTGGACGCAACAGTCTGAGACTCCCTGAAGAGGCAGTTACTGCCATAATGTGGAATGTTCTGTACTTTTAATTGAAGCATTTAATCAAATTAAGGGTGAAAAAAAGATACATTCTTCATAAACTTGTGAGGTAATGATTCGTCCCCATCAGGCACACACAGGATTGTCTAGAGTTTATCTGAAGAAAATTTGTGTAGTGGCTTCAGTCAAAAATGTTGCAGAAGTTCTCATTCTTGCAGATCTGCCAGTGCAGAGAAGTTTGGTTTCTGCCATTTTTAATCATTTTTGACCTACTTAAAATTATTTAAAATAGTACTCAAATTCCCCTTACATTCTCATACTTCTCACCTGGGAGCCACAATATTGTTGTAATTGTGAATACATCCCACCCACTTTAATGACTAGGGAAAACATGTATTTTGGGATTTGGGTCAAGGGTGTATTTTGAGAATAAAGGGAATCTCTGACCCAGCAATTGAATTGGAATTCATAATTATCTTTCTTGAACAAATTTTTGTTAAGACATTCGTTCGAGAGAAGGCTTTGTAATTTTTGTTTATATTGAGAAATAGACCCTAGTTTTCATCTGTTCACTTGTACAAAGTTAAACTGACCATTAGCTTTGCTTAGTGATAATGTAGTTATATTTTGAAATCATTGAAAACAGAAATTGGTTTAGAATTCACAACAAAAACAAAAATTGCTGGAAAATCTCAGCAGGTATGGCAGTATCTGTAGAGAGAAAGCAGAGTTAACGTTCGGGCCCAATAACCTTTCTTCAGAACTGATTGTAGCTTGGAAAAGGTTGGTATATGCTGAAGATGGGGTGGGGGAGGTAAGCAGGGGTGGGGAGGAATAAATAATAGGTGGAGATGGAGAAAAAAAAAAATTGGGCTCCCCCATCCGAACACGAGACAGTGATAGAGGCACTGGGAGAATAAAATAGTTTTTACAGGAAGCAGAGTGTAAGGATCTATAGTCAAGGTAACTGTGGGAGTCAGATGGATTTGTAGTGGAGTTATAGCCAGCCTATCCCCAGAAATCGTAGAATCCTTGTAGCGTGGAAGCAGGCCATTAGGCCCATCAAGTCTGCACCCTCCCTCCGAAGAGCATTCTACCCAGATCCAACCCCTCCCCTATCCCTGTAACTCTGCATTTCCCATGGCTAATCCACTTAACCTGCACATCCCTGGACGCTATGGGCAATTGAGCATGGCCAATCCATCTAACCTGCACATCTTTGGAACATGGGAGGAAACCGGAGCCTGCAGAGGAAACCGGCACTGCAGCTTCACAGCACTAGGGACCCAGGTTTGATTCAGGTGGTTGGCTGTCTGCAGTTTGCACATTTGCCCCATGTCTGCATGAGTTTCCTCCTACTGTCTAAAGATGTGCAGGTTAGGTGAATTGGCCATGCTAAATTGCCCATAGCATCCAGGGATGGGTAAGTTAATTGGATTAGTCGTGGGAAGTGCAGGGTTACAGGGATAAGGTAGGGGTGTGAGTCTGGGTATGATGTCTTCCAAGAGTCAGTGTGATCATGTTGGGCCGAATGACCTGTTTCCACACTGTAAGGGTCCTATAATAAGGAGTTGTGGGTAGGGGTCAGGGTGGGACCCACATACCTCGCAAAGAAACAGGCATAACTGGGATCCATGCAGGTACTGATGGCCAACCCTCTGACCTGAAGAAAGTGAGAAGGATTAAGAGATGTTGTTCAGAGTGAGGACAAGCTTGCTGGGGAGGTCTAGTGATGGATGGAGTTGGTTCAGGCCTTTCTTCAAGGAAGAAGCTGAGAGTGCTGAGACCATCCTGATTGGGCATAGATGTGTAAAGGGATTGCATGTCCATGATAAAGAGGACATGGCTAGAGCCCACGAACTGGAAATTCTGAAACTCATGTAAAGGGTGTAAGTGGGAAGGGACCGGAAAAAGGATGAAAAAGATCAATTCGAGGCAGAAGCAATGGGTCTGCCTGGACAGTCCTGTTTGTGGATTTTGGGAAGGTAGTAGAAGCAGCTTCACGGGATTTGAGGAGTATGAGCTTGGAGGCAGTGGGGACACAATAGCCTAGTGTTCCTTGGTGGGATTGTGATTCAGGGAGAGATGGGAGGACGTATCTGAGAGCTCCGCAATGTAGTGTTCAGTATGGCAGACAACAATAGCACCACTTTTGTTGGCAGGCTTGATTACAAAGTCAGGATTGGATCTGAGAGTACGGACTGCAGCCAGTTCAGAGGGCGATAGATTGGAATGAGTGCGGGTGGGAGGTTGGGAGGATGGGAGGAGCAGAGAAATTGAAATGAATAGTGTCATGTCGATAGTTCCCGATGAACAGGTCGTGTACAAATAAAAGGCCAGAGGGTCAGATCTCAGTTGAAGGGATCTGTGGGATGGGGAGAGGACTCTTGTCCAAAAAAATGAGCACAGAGGTGAAGGCAATGGAAGTGAGTTCAGTGTCATATCATGCCCTTAATTCATTAAGGTGGGGGTGCAGCGAGATAAGAACTAAGACTCTTACTAATTACAGAACATTCAGTATCAGAGTGGAAGATGAGAAGGGATAGTAAATGCATGACAGGAGGTGGATTTGGGAGAGGGATGGAGAGGAGAAGGGAGGAAGTGTGTATCACCAAGTTGTTGCATTTTGTGTTCCTCAATGCCTTAAAGGGAAAGAAAAAGCTTCTTGCTATGAATGAGCCAGAATTGGTGTAGAATTCAGCTATATTTTTTTAAAACTTTTAGGAAGGCATACTTACTTGCAGAAAAGATGTGCATATCAATTCTAAAGGCAGTAGATGATGTTTCTACTTGACAGTTGCCAGTTTTATGAGATAATCAATATTTTTTGCTGTCCTTCCAGTACGCACTAGATCGCTTGAAGGTTATGTGTGAAGAAACCTTGTGTAGTAACCTTTCAGTCGAAAATGTGGCAGAAATTCTCATTCTTGCAGATTTGCACAGTGCAGAACAGCTGAAAGCACAAGCAATAGACTTCATTAACAGGCAAGTGTCATTGCTTTCATTTGGAATCTAAGCTGCCAAATCTATACTTTGAGTTTGATGAATTATTTTTCTTTCTTTTACTATTTACCCATTACAGATGCAGTGTTCTCCGACAGCTTGGGTGTAAAGATGGAAAAAACTGGAGCAACAAGTAAGTAAAGTGGAAATATGGAAGTGATTGGATCTGGTTTTTGAGATTTAATATCATACATTCTTTAACTTCATTTTATGTCACAGCTCTATCTGAAGATAGATTATTATATGTTCTTTTAAAGGACAAACAAATGCACAACAGATTAAAACCTACAATGTAGGCAGCACTGCCTTTCCATATACAACTCTGCAAAGTGCAAAGAAGGGTTGGTTTCTAAGTTTTGCCGTCTGTTAGATTGCAAATAGATTTATTTTTCATTCCACGCTAAATTCTGATTGTATATAATTATAATAGCCGTTTTAGGTTACTTTCCTATTTAAATCATCATAGAATCCCTACAGTGTGGAAACAGGCCCTTCAGCCCAACAAGTCCACACTGACCTTCAGAGCACCCCACCCAGACCCATTACCCATTCCCTGTAACCCATCTACGCATCCCCTGACTGCTATGGGCAATTTAGCATGGCCAATCCACTTAACCTGCACCGTCTTTGGACTGTGGGAGGAAACCCATGCAGACACGGGGAGAATGTGCAAACTCCACACAGACAGGTGCCCAAAGGTGGAATCGAACCCGGGTCCCTGGCGCTGTGAGGCAGCAGTGTTAACCACTGAGCCACCGTGCTGCCCCAAATGTGTCCAACCTTTTGCCCTTGGGGAAATGATCCCAATTAGGGAGTTACTCATACTTTGGATTCCACTCACTAGCTCAGTTGACTGGATGGCTGGTTTGCAGTGCAGAGTGACACCAGCAATGTGTGTTCAGTTCCTCTATTGGCTGACGTTACCATGAAGGTCCTGCCTTCTCAATGTTGCCCCTTGCCTGAAGCATTGTGACCTTCAAGGTAAACTCCCCACCAGTCACCTTTCTGTAATGAGAGAGTAGCCTTATGATCTTCTGAGACTGTCAACTTTACCTTTACTGTTGTAGAGCTGTGTTGTCCAATAATGTGCAAGCATTTTGTACTGTAAATATACCTAAAAATAAATCACAAGATACCAAGTAATTGTGCTATATCTGCATGGATTTGTTATGGTCTGTTTTTGAATTTCTGAGTTGAGAATTTGTTGAGATATTACTGTATGAAAGGCTGCAAAGGATTATTTATGTTTGTTTTTAATTGTGTAAAACTTCTATAGATCTAGCCATAAGATTGTGCTACTTTGTTCAAGATGCACTGCAAAGAAAAGCTCTGCACAGAACTTGTTTTATGATCTTTAACTCATTTTTTGAAAGTGCATTTTTAAAAGTTGACATCTTCCATTTTGCTTTACAAAATGGGAAAGTATATCACAATTTCAGTTTTATTAAATCAGAAAATCATTATTTTCAAATATTAATAGATATCCAATATAGCATTACAATCCAATAGTAATTGGCTGTAGCATTCCTTTAGAAATGAGTTTTAGTTTCTCAAAGAACTAAATTGTATTAAAAAACAGATTGTAAGAGTCAAGTATAAGAGATGCTGGAACTCTCAAATAAAAACAAATTGCTGGAAATAATCAACAGATCTGACAGCATCTTTGAGTTATTATTTCAGGTTGATGGTTCTTCCATTTGAACTGAAAAAATGTAAAAATGTAATATGTTTTAAGCAAGTAAAAATGGGGGCACACATGGGAAAAGGGATAAAAAGGAACATCTGTAAAGGTATGGAATGCAAGAGAGATGAAATGACAGGAATTGGTTGTGCAAGCCAAAGGGAGTGATAATGCACAAGTGAAAATAAAATGTCTAGAGGAACTTTACTCTGCTGAATCATGAACATCTACTGTGTGATAGTGTTAAGTTCTAAGAAGAACCAGGAGGCCAAAGCATTAAACAGCAGGAGCTTTATTATAGAGGCATTTGTTCTGTGGGCAACAAGGTTAGAGAGAAAACAAAAACAGAAATTTCTGTAAAAGCTCAAAAGGTCTGGTAGCATCTGTCGAAAGAAAAAGCAGAGTTAACATTTGAGGTCAAGCGACCCTTCCGCAGAACTGGGTTAGAGAGAGCCTTTTGTCCATACAAAATGGCTGATATTGTCATCATTACATCACATGTTTGGACTGTTAAAGTGACAGTCAGCCATTCACAAATACGCAATGCATCATGGGTTCCTGCAGTGAAAACATGGTAAATATTTACAATCGTATATCTAACAGTAGGTTATATGTAGAGAAAGTTGCTTCCTGTGTGGCTGTTGGCACAGTTCAGGCATTTGTTTATTTTTCTTGTTGATTTTAACCTCTGGTGTGTTGGATATAATGGTTCTAACAGAGGTAGGTTGCAAACTCTTGCTCAAACCACATATTCTCACCTTCTCCTCAATTTCGGAGTGGAGTCCTGGCCACTAAAAATGGCTTCTGACAATGTCATAGTGATCTTTGTGTAGTTGATTTAACATCTGTTTCTTTAGCTATGATAAGAGTAATGACCCTCATCTTGCTTGTATGTATACTTCCAGCTTCTGTGTGATGTACAGCTTCCGTTCTAGAGTTGCTTCTATGATCTTGCCACAAAGTACCATGCCCATCATTTTTGGTAGTAGTGGATAATTTCTAGAGTACTATTTAAATTGTCTTTCTGTTACTGGAGTATTCTATACTTGCTCAAAGTAGAAAATGCCTACATAAGGACTGATCGTAGTTGACTCATTTGGCAAAGGACCCCATCAGCATTCTCATGCAAGTTCGATCACTGATACTGAATTGTATGTGAGAGCTGATAGCAACAATTACCCACTTCTGCATACAGCTCAGTACAAGAGGTTTTCCTGCCCGAGGCCCAAATATTGTGATCTGTGGACTGTTAGTCAGGTAAATTCCCAGCCATACAGGTATTGGTGGAATTGCCTAATTCTAAAAATGATTCTTGGAGCTTCTATCTTTATCTGTCCATGATTCATTTCTGCATTTCTTTAGCGATCTTGATGCAAAAGCTCAGTTCTGAAGAAGGGTGACCAGACCCGATGTTAACTGATTTCTCTTCACAGATGCTGCCAGACCAACCGAGTTTTTTTCAGCAATTTCTGTTTTTGTTTACGATTTCCAGCATCTGCAGTTTTTTTTTTGTTTTTGTTGTTGTTGAAGTAAAAGCTATTGGCTTCTTTTCAGTGTTCAGTAATATGTGAGAAATGACTGCTCCTACTCCAGAAGGTTGCTAGTTGCAACGGCAACTTTGGTCAAAATGGGTCAGGACAACTTACTTTAATGAAGACTTTTTGGCTTGCGTAAATGCTTTTTCACACTTTCAGTTCTTGTTTTGGCATAATAAATTGTGCAATGGCATGTGAATAGTTGCACGATTTGAAAGAAACCTGCCACAGTCATTCAGCAAGCCTATTGCCGTTCGTTTACATTTTTAGGTGCTGGTGCCCCAGTTAGGGCTTTTATTTTTGAACATGACTTGTGTAGTCCCTTGTAATGACATGGTCTAAATTTTAAATAGAATTTTAAAATAAATTCTCCTTTGTCTTTGCTCGGTCTTAGGCCATAATCTTGAAATCTCTGTAGGGTAGCCTGTAAATTATGGAGATACTCTTTCTTGTTTCTCTCTGTGACTAAAATATCATCTAGGTGTCACTGGACTCCTTCCAATTCCCTTAAAATCTAATCTGTGGCTCAGTCGAATAAAACAGATATGATTCCAAATTGAAATCCCTCAAACTCAAATAGTTCTTTATTGTGTTATCGTTGTCAAGTATTTCTGAAAGTCGATCTGCGTTCTTCTGGAGATCAATTGACTTTTGGGAAGCCTAACTGAAAAGCTGAACTCCAGCTAATCTAGCAAATAGGTCAGCGATTAAAGGCAAAGGATAGTGCTGAGGATTAATTGAGACCTTGAAATCACTGCAGATGTGTACTCATCCAATTTTCTTCGTCACTGACACAAGAGGTGTGGCCCATTTGCTCACGTTTACAAATTCAAAGACACAAACATGTTTGCAGACTTCTGCTTGCCCGTCAATATAATTCCCCAACATAATCTGCATCCCACTTGTAGTTGCTTAAAACCTACTACGTCTCTTCCTGTTCCCACTTCTGACAATAGGCAATTGACGTGAATTGTGAACTTTTGTTTCTTTCTGTACAGGTGCTGCCTGATGTGCAGAATGTTTCCAATAGTTTGCTTTTAAGTAAAGACAAAATGTCTCCCTTTGATTTTGATAAAGTAACATTTTAAAACAAAAGGAGACTAGCGCGATGTCTGGATTTTATGTTCGATTGAACTTTTTTCTGATTGCTTTCCCAACGTGCCTGAAACTGGAGCAGAAACTCATTGAACTTCAATACAAATTAAGTTCCACACAACTGTAGTTTGTGATTATTTGCACTGGATTTAAAACCATAGCTCCAGAAGCAGACCCCATCCACAAAATTGGCTGTGGCCCAGATCAAATTAATCATCAGTGGGAGTTTCCACTTGTTATTTGAGAATACTCTGAAAAATTAAGTTGAATCTTTTGGGCACTGGCATTTATTAAAAGCTTTTGATTTTTGTCTTAATTTTCTAGTAACTGTCTGTAGACTCCAATCCAATTCACAAATAGATTTTTACATCATTTTTAGTAGTTTTAAAATTTGCTTACAAGTGGTAAATTAACAGTAATTTAAAATGCTTATTTTTGTGATAAACTCATTTTTGGCTGATAGGCTTCTGTCTATCAAGTCCACACTGGTCAAAAACTAGGATCTGACTATTCTAATCTCATTTTCCAGAAAGTTATGAGTGTTTCTGTCTCTTCCACCCTTACAGGCAGAGTGTTCCAGATCCCCACCACCCTCTACATGAAAGTTTTGATTTCCTTGCCACCTCTCTAAACCTCCTGCCCATTACCTTCAATCCATGCTGTCTGGTCATTGATCCCTCCACCAAATGTTCCTTTCTTTGCCCCTCAGATTTTAGTAATCTTAACCATGTTCCTCAGTCTCCTCTGCTCCAAGGAAAACAACTTCATTCTATCCAGTATTTCAAATAAACATTCCAGTCCAGGCAACATCCTGGTAAATCTCTGCACCCTCTCTGGTGCACCCACATCCCTCCTATAATATCGATTTCAGAACCGCACACGATGCTCTCTCTGTGACCTATCCAGAATTTTATCTAGTTCCAGCATAACCTATCTGCTCTTAAACTCTATACCTCAGCTAATAAGGGCAAGTATCCCATAAGCCGCCCTAACCACTTTATCTACCTGTCCCATTACTTTAAAGAATCAGTGGACATGCACACCAAGGTCCCTCTGATCCTCAGGGTCCTCTGTTCATCATGTATTCCCTAGCCTTGTTTGTCCCACACACGCGAATCACTTCACACTTATCCAGATTCAATTCCATGTACCACTGACCAGCCCATCCGTATCGTCCTGTAATACAAGGCTGATAGTTACCAGGAAAATTGAGGGGTGAAAAACTATTTGATCTCCTGGGTAACTATTAAACTGAACCTTTGACATCCACCCCGACCTGGCCTGGCCAACCCAACCCTACATGCCCAGCATGGTTCTCTCCCAACTGCACCCCCACACTGGCACAACATCCTCCACCACCATGGGACTGAAATCCACTGAAACACTGATCCATTTGTTGGCATGCTCCAACCTACCCATCATCTATTTGGCACTCAATCCCTCCCGAACCTCAACCTGCCTGTCATCCTCACACTTACCTTACATGCTTAACCTTTCACAGTAGCTGTCAAACAGGCTGTCTGTCTTATTGCACTTTTGCATCACAGAACAAGATATGGTGACAGCCTCAAAAGGGTGTGATTTCAGTGGTGGTGGTCTGCCCTGTTTGTGGCAAGGATTGTCTGGACAAGTCTCCCCTGTTGTGTGACACGAAGCTCTGATCTAGGTATTTCCAGAGTTGAGTTCATTTTAAGGATATGTGTGTATTTCGGCAGTCCACTGGAAAGCTGCTGCTTTTAGCCACAGATGAAAAATCTGATGGCACGCATCGACGGAGGCAGAAGTTGCAGAAAGAAAACTTGACCACCTAACCGCCTAATCTCGTTTTATAAATGTAAATAACAGATAGTGACACTTGAATACAAGTCATTCTCATTGTTATTCCTGCTGATGAACTTTATCATTTGACTTACTTGCAGCCATGCCACAGATGTGATGGAGACAGAAGGCTGGAAGTCGATGATTCACTCCCACCCTCATTTAGTTGCAGAGGCCTTCCGAGCATTGGCGACTGCACAGTGCCCACCATTTGGTATTCCACGCAAACGGTTAAAACAGTCATAATTACACTAGAGGACTTAGGTACTGATCTCGCTACTGACTTTTGCGTAAAGGTATTTGTACCTTGCACCCATACAGGATAAACTCCTCGTTTGCATACAGAGGTCACGCCTGAACTTTAACTGTCTTTAATTGCTCTGCTGAAGGATGTGTTCCGGTATGGTCTTCAGCTTTAAATTAGTTTACATGCTTTTCTCTCAGCCACTTAAACAGCCTTAAATGATTTTCATCCTTCCTGTTCAGTTCACGTGATTTTAAGTTTTTTTTTAAATTAATGTGTGCCTTGTCGTTAGACCAGGCTGTGCAGAATTGCATCAGCAGCCATATTGCAAAGCCTTCCATTGAATAACTGAGAAAGGCAAAATAAGTCTTTAACACTTTTCTCAATAACTACTCTCTGTACAAAATTATGGTTGATATCCAAGGAAATTAATCGATCTGAGCCTGATTGGCCAGTTAGGAGCAATATTGCATGTGATTTGATGACTATCCCCAACCCACCTTTGCATTATGCATGCTGTTGAAATTCTGCATTACAGCCTGAAAGGGATGTACCATTCAATAGCACATGTCCTTAATGGCCAGTGGTATATGAAGTACATGGTTGGTTTGTGAACCACCATTTTCTTTTTCAGTGTTTGTATACCTTGTTTACAGTTTGGAATTTCTACTGTACAGATTTTTTTTTTGAGGGTTAAATTCACATTTTTGGCAGAAATGTTAAAGACCTTTGTTACAATTGTGTGAAAATGGTTTGTAATGTTCAGCAACCTTCTAGAACTTGAGATCACATCATAGCTAAAATCAAAACACTATATCTTCGTGCTACCAATGGACCCAAAACAATGGAATAGTCCAGCAATCCACAGTGCAACAGTGTGAAACTTGAATAATGGAAGAGCATTTCTGAAGACTACCCATTTGAAACGCGTAATAAAGATGTTAAGACACTGAAGGTCACCTGATCAAATTAGTTTTCCCAAATATACTTACGATGTTTCTATCCCTTTTACAATTAAAAGAAATTTCTTGGGAATTTTCTCCTCTGCCCTTCTCTCATGAAGGCGCTGAATCTTTGGGATCCAAGTCCAGGGGTGCTGGTCGCCCTCCAGTATCTCATCCAAATGGCTGTTATTCGTGTGTGAGTGTCATACGGGTATTTAACCGCAGGGGACATCACAGACGAGCTTAACACTATCCTCGCCTGACGTCAATACGTGCACTTCCAGTGGGGCTGTTGGATAGTGATCAGATGTGAAAACCCTGGTGATTTTCCATTCCCCTACCCCAGCTGGTGCTGAGACCATTGAAACACCCTAATTGATGCCCCAGCTAAGATCACTTAACTCAGCACAGACTAAGAATCGAAACTGAGATCTTCCAGGTACTCACTGGATAATTATGCTGAGCCTCTGGGGAAGGTAGCCCTTTTAAGAATGAATAGGTATTGTTATCAAGTCATTTGTCTGAGACACTGTGCTAAGGTAACACTGTAGATTTTGTAGAAAACTCCAGTTTCAGCACAGTGATTTGCAATGCCTCAAATTGACTTTACATAGCAATTGATTTGCTTATGTTTTGCTATTTTATTTATTATGCATCAATATATTTCATAAAGCTTATGTTACGTTAGAGAAACTTTGTAAGACTTTATAAATGCAATTGAATGCACTAATTTGTAACAGCGTTCATTTCTGTAGACTATTGTTTTGTGAAAATCATTTTTGTTAGACAAAAGAACTCAACTATTTTTAAAAATGGAGGTAAAAGAAGCTGATGGGTTTAAGTTATCAATGTATCTGTTTACTGTCATATCACAAATTCAGAAAGTATGGTTGCATGAACTACACACCATTAAAATTTGAATAAAAACTTAAAATGAGTTTTGAGATGGTTGTTCAAAAGTAATTGACCTTAATTTTCATGCTGAGAGCAGTTTGAATACAATAATCTGTTTTAATTTAGTAAAACATATTTTCTAATTGTTTGCTGCAGTATTTATTTCAGGAATATCAAAATGAAATAATATTGCCTTCTGATATTTTTACTTTTGATTGCATAACAACTGCAACTGTCCACCTCCATCTACTTCGATGGGAGATCAAGAATATTCTGGACTATAGATTGCTCCATAGTTGACAGTGATACAACACTGCCAGCTGGAAGTTATTTTTATGTGGGGCATAATCCATTTTGAGTTTCATTCTTTTGTGATTTCTAATATTCTATTTGATCCCAGCTCGAATAGAGGTGCTCCATCTAGTGACTGAACCAAGAACTAATGACTTTGCCAGTTGAAAATAAACAAATTCCAGAAACCAGGGACCTAATTTTTAAACTGGGTGGACCACCATCATAGTCTGGAAACGTGCAGGACCTGTCCTCCTCATAAACTGGAATAATCAAATCAAATTGGCCAGGATAGCCTCGAGGGGGAATTCATTGAATGTGTTAGGCATTGTATCTTTGAACAATATGTTGTGGAACCAACCAGGGAGCAAGTTATTCTGGATATGATATTATGTGATGAAGTGGGATTAATTAATGATCTCATAGTAAAAGATCCTCTAGGGAAGAGTGATCATAACATGCAAGAATTTCAAATTCAGTTGGAAGGCAAGAAACTGGAACCCTATAGTAGTGGTCTGGCATTAAATCAAGGTAGTTACATAGGCATGAGACAGACCTGGTCCTAATAGACTGGGTGGGAAAACTAAAAGGTAGGACAGTTGATAAACCATGGCAGATGTTTAAGGAGGTATTCGGTTCCTCATAACTCAAATATATTCCGGAAAAGAAGAAAGATTATGAGAGTGGTAAAACATGCATCCATGGCTCAGCAAGGAAATTAAAGACAACATAAAGACAAAATCTAAGACATGCAATATTGCAAAGGCCAGTGGCAGAATGGAAAATTGGGAAGCTTTTAAAGATCAACAGTTTACTAAAAGTAAATAATAAAAAGAGCAAAGGTAAATTATGAGAAAAAGCTAATGCAAAATATAAAGATGGATGGCAAAAGCTTCCATAAGCATATAAAAGGCACGAGCATAGCTAAAAGAAATGTGGGTCCTTTGGAGGATGAATTTGGAGAGTTAATAATGGGAAGCACAGAAATAGCTGCGATACTAAATCAAAATTTTGCCTCCGTTTTCCCAGTAATAACAGATAATGTAGCGGTACAGAAAGTGAGGAACTTAGAACAATCATCAGTACTGAGCAAATTATTGGGATTAAGGCAAACAAATCTGTAGGCCTGATGACCGCATCCAAGAGTCTTAAAGGAAGTTTAACAGATAGTGGATCCATTGGTGAAAATACTCTAAAATTCCCTGGACATGGGAAAGGTTCCGGTGGATTGGAAAAATGCTGTTATGAGGCCATTATTCAGAAAGGGATGAAGGCAGAAAGTAGGAAACCATAGATCAATTAGTTTACCATCTGATTGGAAAATTGTTAGAATCCATTTTTAAGGGACATTTGTAAATTCAAATGCAATCCATCAGAATAAGCATGGTTTTATGAAGGGTAAGTCGTGTATGAGTAAATTACTACAGTTCTTTAAAGATGTAACAAGTGAAGTAGATAATGCATATTCTGTAAATGTAGTATATCTAGGCTTTCAGAAAGCATTTGACAAGGTACACACAAAATGTTAATACACCAGGTAAAATCACATGGGGTTTGGGATAATTCATGAGCTTGGATAGAGGATTGGCTTACCAAGAAAAAGAGAGTCGGAATAAATGTTTTTTTTTTCCTGTTTGGCAAGCTGTAACTAATGGGATGTTAAGGGTTCAGTCCTTAGGCCTCAGCCATACAATCTGTATTAATGACCTGGATGCAATGATGAAGGTACAGTAGCCAAATTTGCAGAAGACATTAAAATAGTTGGGCAAGTAAGTTTCAATCAAGAAATGAGAAATGTACATATGGATATGTTAGATGAATGGGTCAAAATTTGGCAGAGTTTAATGTGGATAAGTGTGAGGTCATCCATTTTGGTTGGAAAAGAAAGGCAACTTGTTATCTAAATGGAGAGAAACTTCTGAGTGCTTCAGAACACAGAGTTCTGGTTGTCCTCGTGCATAAATCGCAGAAAACTGGTACGCAGGTACAGCAGGTAATAAGGAAGGCAAATGGAATTTTGGCATTTATTAGTAATGGAAGAGTAATGGGTTGAAGAGGTATGGAGAGTGGACAGGAAAGTGAAGTTGAGGCCAAGATGAGATCAGCCATGATCATATTGAATGGCAGAGCAGGCTCAAGATTTGGCTACTCATGCTCCTAGTTCTTATGTTCTCAATGGAAGAGCTTCATTTCCAAAAAATGTTCATGGTGGTCTGCTCAGAAATGGAGGGTCAGAGTGGGAGTTTGATAACAGTATATTTGGAGGCCTATGGGAATTATAAGTGGGAAGTAAATTCTAAAGTCGCATGGGGGACAAAGGAACCATTGCAATTCGGAGGCAGCAGGGGTGTGAAGGACCAGGGACCCTTGGGAACACTTAGTGATGACTTTGACTTTGCCTAACCCAAAAGCAGAAAAATAATTTTTGAAAATATTATGTGTTGATTTAGCACCTCCCACCTTGATTCTTGTGAACACTCACCAAGTCTTCAAACCTTGATTCATAAAGTCATACAATGACAAAAGGCCCTTTGGCTCATCAATTCTGCACCAACGTAACTACCACTAAAAGTGTGCTAATCCCATTTTCCTGCACTTATAACATTCAGGGATATGGGACATCTGAAATCCTCATCCAATTTTTTTTTAAGTTGTAGGGTTTCTAACCTCCACTACCTTCCCAGGCAGTGCATTTCAGATTCCCACCACCCGGTGAGTGAAAAAATTCTTTCCCAAATCTCCTCTGAATCTCCTGTCCCTTACCCTAAAGCTATGCCCTTTTGTGATTGACCCCCTGAACCAAGGGAAATAGCTGCTCTCTCTTCACCCTGTCCATACTCCTCATAATCTTATACATCTCAATCATATCCCCTCTCGGTCTTCTGTGCCCTAAAGAAAACCATTCAAGCCTACTAGTCTCCCCTTGTAGCTCAATTTCACCATCTCAGGCAACATCCTGGTGAACCTCCTCTGTACCCCGTCTCGTGCTATCACATCCTTCCTGTGGTGAGGTGACCAAAACTCCAGATGTGGCCTAACCAACGCTCTGTACTACTCCCAACATTATTTCCTTGCCGTTATACTCTATGCCACGATTGATGAAAGCAAGTGCCTGATATGCGTTCTTAACTATCCTATTCACGTGCTCTGTCAACTTCAGGGATCTGTGGATAATTACCCCAAGATCCTTCTGTTCCTCTGAACTACACTGCCTTCTGCCATTCGTTTAATATTCCCTCATCTTGTTTCTTCTTCCAAAGTGCATCACCTCACACTTTTCAGGATTAAATACCATCTGACACTGGTCTCACCATCTGACCAATCCATCTATATCTTCCTGTAACCTACAACAAACTTCTTCCACCCTATTTGCAAATTTGCTTTAACCGTCCCTCCACATTTTCATCTATGTCATTTATGTATATAACAAAAGTAAAGGGTCCTAGTACTGATCCTTGTGGTACACCTCTAGACACTGGCCTCCAGTCACTCAAACAGCCTTGTACTGTTTATGTTTGAGTCATATTACTAAGCCAGTTTCTGTTCCATTTCACCAAATTTCCCTCAATTCCATGTGCTTTTAACCTTCTCAATCAGTCTCCCATGTGGGTCTTTTTTCAAAATCCATATAAACTAGCGAACTTCCCTCATCTGTGCACTTGATCACATTTTCAAAAAGTTCTAACAAATTCTAATAAACCGCCTCCTGACAAAGCTATGCTGACTATGCCTAATTAACCCATGCTTTTCCAAGTTGTTATTAATTCGCTCCTTCAGAATTTTCTCCGATAGTTTCGCTGCCACAGTTGAGAGACTCTCAGATGTGTAATTTTGTGGTTCCTGGCTACCACACTTCTTGAAAAGTGGAACCACATTAGCTGTCCTTGAGTCCTCTGGCACTTACTCTGTGGCAAGAGAGGAATTAAAAAATTTTCAGAACGCCCACAGCAGCATGGGTTGCAATTCATCCAGACTAGGGGATTTGTCTGTTTTTAAGGCCAACAGAGCTTCCAATACCTCCCCATTTTCTATGTCAACCTGTGCAAATTCCTCATGGTCCCTTATTGTTATTATTTTGTACCTACATACTCCTTTTCCAGAGTGGCCGGCACAGTGGCTCAGTGGTTAGCACTGCTGCCTCACAGCACCAGGAAATCAGGTTTGATTCCACCCTCAGGCGACTATCACTGTGGAGTTTGCACATTCTCTTGGGATGCTCCGGTTTCCTCCCGCAGTCCAAAGGTGTGCAGGCTAGGTGGATTGGCCATGCTAAATTGCCCATAGTGTTCAGGATGTGTAGATTAGGTGGTTATAGGGGGATGGGTCTGGGTGGGACGCTCTGAGGGTTGGTGTGGACTAGTTGGCACAAAGGGCCTGTTTCCGCACTGCAGGCATTCTGTGATTCTAAGACTGAAGAGAAATATTCATTTAACACCCTTCTAACATCCTGTAGCTTCACACACAGGTTGCCCCCTTTGTCCCTAATAGGCCCTGCTGTTTCCCTGTTTAACCTCTTCCCTTTAATGTATTTATCTTAGGATTGCAAACAAAGTTAAGGAGAATCCTTTATCATGCCCCCTTTTCGGTCTTCTAATTGCTTTCTTAAGTCTCCCTGCCGCCCATGCTTCCTGTATTCCTCTAGGGCCACAACTGAATTGCTCCATTTGAACGTGCTAAAAGCCCTTCTCATTCAGTACTGAATTGTCCTTGACATTCAGAGTTCTCTGAACTTATTGCTCCTACATTTCCCTC